AACTATGAAGCTTTATTTTTAGCACTCACTGATGACAACTTCATTCAATAAAATCTGTCAATCAAAAGCTTGCGCCTGTAGCTTTTTAATTCCAAGTAATATGCCAAGAATTTTCGAACCCCAATTGAAATACAAACAGATTAAACTGTGGATCATTTTGGGGTTACTTCACATGTAGATATTGTTGATGCAGTTGAGCTTGAACCTGTTGTGGTTGTTGGGAGTGCAGTAGTCATAACAACCGTAGACTGAGTTGATAAAGATTGCGCAACTGTTGGTGTAACTATGGCTGTGGTGGAGACAAACAATGGTGGCTTCTGCCCACTGAGTGTCGTGGAGGCTGGCCCACCGGTAATGATTTTTGAGCCGTGAGGCACTTGCGCTAAAAATATGCCTTTTCCAGCAAGTCCTGAAGGCATTCCAGCAAACATGGAACTGGCAATTACGGGAACTCACTTTTTGTAATTGCGGATTGTCTAGAGTGTGGTGAACCGGACAACAACACAGACATTGGCATACCGACACCTGGAGACTTCTTTGGATCTGTTGTTCCCGCTGTGGTGATCACGCTGATGCCGACAGGTTTCTGTTGCTCTGTTGAAGCTTTCAGCTCTGCTCCTTTTGGCAGACCTTTATTAGCTTGTGAAGCCTGTGCCAGGGCAAATTTCAAACCAGCCGTAGCAGGGAGGACTGTCTGTTGCGTTGAGGTGAAAGCGATAGAGGCCGTCGTTACAGCTGTAGTTGATTGAGTGGCGGAGAAAGATGTAGGAGCAATGGACTGCCTTGCTGTCTGAGAAGTGATTGTGCTGACTGGTATACTAGAAGACTGTGTACCTAGAACTAGTGATACAGGCTTGCCACCAAGCATAGGCTGTGTTTGACTTATTCTTAAACCACTGTCCCCGGAGACAGTCATTAGTCCGGGAGAGATAGTAGCACCTTGTGCATGCTGCGTTGGAATTGCTTCAAAGCCCTGTGCAGTGAGTCTTATTCCAAGTGGACCAAGAGCTCCTGGTTGTATTTTTCCAAGTGCTGGCATTCTTAGCGGATGTAATGTTGGTCTGGATTGCTTTCCAACCCCAGCTGCTTGAACATAAAATGGCTTACCACCAAGTGACTGCACCACTGTAGGCCTCAATCCCGCCTGAGTTGCATGTCCCTTCAATGGTTTCCCTCCAATGTGGCTTAATATTTTCCCTGTTGGTGCCATAGCATGCTGTATCGTTGTCACGGTAACTGCAGCAGGCACAGACACATTGGGATGAGACTGTTGAATGACACTTCCCGGAACCAGAATAGGATTCACATTGCTTGAAGCTACAGACGTTGTTGCAGACGTAGTCAGTGTAGCCACTTGCCCTGGAATTGTCGCAGCCCTGCTTGTATTTTTCAAGACCACAGTACCAGGTATGGCACTTGCCGTGGTGGAATGCACTGTTACACCGGAGATGGCTACTGGAAAGGATCCAGCAATTCCACCCTTGGGGCTTTTCCCAGAAGCAGCAACCATGTTTTGAGTTTGAGTCACATCTTTTACGCCAAAAGTTAGCAAAGTGGGCATACCTTTAGCCATTCCTCCAGGTGAGGCACCTGGCGTACTTGGAGTACTGACTCTGGGACTCAACACAGATGCAGGAGGATGTATCCTTGGATTAGTAGAAGTGATGACAGACTTGCCACCCATCAATACTTTAGCAAAGCCCTTTGGACTGGTAGATGTAGCATCAGCTGGTGATTTGTTTGGACTCTGTGGTTCAAAACTCAGATTGCTACTAACTAAACTGTCATTACTTGTTTCGCTCAGTGATGAAGAAGGTCTTGCAAGTGGTGGAGACTTCCCAGTTATATCCTTAACAGGTGTTTTCTGTAAATAAAAATAAAATTAAGATCAGGTATGCAAATGAAGTTCTAGATAGCATATTTATATTATGAGGTTATTACGAGGATACCGCAAAGTATGCACAAAGACAGTACAGCGAGAGTATCGACCGAAGCGCAGTGGAGGTCAAGGCGAACTTTACAGTATCCTTATTATTATACATTTTTTTCTCCCAGGGATATATCATGGGAATGCCAAAATCCAGAACAGATTTAGCAAACTTCTTTGTGTGGGGTCTGGTAAATTAATTGTACTTCCAGGCATTATAAGGATATTGACTTTAAAAAAATTGGGGGTCACCAGCTTATTTTTCAAGAAAATAATGATTGTGTTTTAGTGGCCCTTTTTATGGCAGGGATATTTTCAAATTGTTGGCCAGTGACAAATAGTGAAAAAATCATATATTGGTAATGATGGGGTACTTATTGTTGTCCTAAATTATTTAAACAATCTGGGTCTGGGTAAAAAAAAAATGTGAGTTTTGAAATATATTAGAACATCAAAATACATAACTGTTTTGTAGCAAACTAAGCTTGATGAAATTCTTAAAGATACTCACTACTTTTGCTGATAGTTTAGGTTTCTGCATGGCTTTCTTGGCTTTCTCAGCTTCAGCTTGTTCCTGATGAATGCGCTCTGTGCAACACAAAGAAAACAAATATTAATAAACAAATTATTCAAAGAAGTCATTGTCAAACACCAAAATTGATAATAATACGACACCAAAAACTTTTGAGTAATACTGATGAAATTCACTTAATCATATTAAATGTCCTCTTTTATTTACAGAAGCAATACAGAAACACTTCAGTGATCAGGTTACAAACCAAATTAAAATTTGGGAAAGAGTTCCTAAAGCCCCCCCCCCCCCACACACACACACACACCTAACTGAACCCTCACCCTACCAAAACAGCCCCCCCCCATGCAATTCAATATGTCTCTCCAAATAAGTTATATTTGAAGCTAGTGTTTTTACTTTTACCACAGAATCATCAGACTGAATTAGTAAGATTGAATGCACTGTTTCAACAGTCCATGTACAAATTGACAGAAGCCTGTCAACAAATCTATAATTAAACAAAGTATATTTTGGTGTTGATTATTTTCAATAAAAAATTGAAGAAATTTTGTCTGACAAATCAAATTTACACTAAAATATAAATAAATAAAATACTAAACTACAATAATATAGCATATTTGAAAAAAGGTATAATCCATCAAAATTAAGGTGTAAAAACAAGTATGCGCCACTAACAGGAGTAGTCAGTGTATGCTTAGAATAAAACATCAACTACAATACAGCTTGGTGAAGAGAATTTCTTTGAATTGCCAGACATCAGAAAGGCAAATGTACTTCTTGTGTGATGTCACAAAAACCAGTAATATTTATATGACAAGCTATTCAGGCAATATGAATTTTTCTCTCCAAAACAATGAATCACATCAACAATTAACAAAATCAAGACAAAATCCTAAGAGCACCACCATCTTGAACAATCATTTTCTTGCGTACATGTGGCAACGGGCAATACAAACTTCACTGGACTGCATGTAACAATGAGTAATAAAACTACAGATAAAATTGACACAATATAAAGGGAGTGTTGCACACACAACGCTGTACCATAGATGCTCACTTTGATGAATGTTTGTAACTACTGACATATAGTAGGACGATTCAGATTTACCATGTTTTTAAACAGTATACAGTTGTTTTCAAGTCAGCAAGTGAGTTATGTTTTGATGGCTCTTGGTGATTAACGAGTAACAGCATAACTTGAAATTTTATTTGGGGCTATTTGATACAAAAAAAATATCACAAAGAGTTCTCAAATCAACATCAATATGATAATCATACATACCAAACTCTCCTTCCATTCTGCTCCTATGGAGATAGATCCACAGTTTTCTATGGGTGTCATATTTAACACACGGATCCTTTTCATAATGTAGTCTATCAAGAGCACCACTGACCACTGTATTGATCTGGGAGTCTGTTGCACTCTCTGCTATAAACTGTGAATCCTTGAGTAACTCGCAGATATCAGCTCTGGTGCCTTCTCCATTGGGTAACCTAGCAACAGAGTCACGCACTGCAAGACAAGTGTTCACCAATCAGAATTGGCCTTATGCATGA